CCCTGGAGCCCTGCCTTTTGGGACCCAGCATCTAGCTGGGCTTGACACTGGTCAGGCTCTGCCCTGTGTCCCAGGACTGATAACTGGAACTGCCTCCATCCCAAACCCCAGGCCTCGGTTCTGGTGTCTGGACCCTGTCTTGCTTCCCCAGACTGAGTCACAACTCAGTTAACCTGCATGATTACCTGGTATTTCTTGACCTGTGACACTGTAATGTTATTGCCAAACCTCAGTTCCCCCTGACCTGAGTCAGAACCCTAGACCTGGGGGATTCAGGCCCAGTGACAGGTGCCCAGTGACCCCCTGGCACATTGGCCTGCCTAGACTGGTCTTGTGTCTGCTGCTAACAATCCCTACCCAGGACTAAACGTGCAGTGCTACCACTTGGCTTGATTGCTGCCTCTCTTGTATTTTTCTCTTAGAGCACTATGTCCTACTTTCTGGGCCAGACTTGATCCTGGCGCTGACAACTTACCTGTGTCCCCTCAGCTGCAGCCCAGCCTAGCCCAGGATCCATGCTTACACCCAACCTAGTTATGCCCAGCCCTGACTGGAGACTCGCTTCTATTACCTTTCTTCCAATCGGGTCTAGTTCTCACCTCAAATGAGACTCTTTGCTAAGGCAGAAAAGGGGCAAGCCTTTTAGGGTCAGCAGACAGAGAGAGAAGGAGGGAGGGAGGGCAGCCCAGTCAGTATGGGCCTCTGGCCAGGCCAAGTGCACATCTGACTGACATTGAGTTGCTGCCACCCCAGAAAGAATAAGGCTCGATCTACTAGCTTGAATGGCAGGGTGGCTTCTGATCTGATCTGACTCCCATGGCTCCTCAGAACATTGTAGCCACTCTACTGAGTGCTCACTTAGGAAACTACTTGGAATTCCCAGACCACTCAGGCTCTCCTGGGCAGGTCCCTTCCTGGATGGCTCTTTTAATCCTTTGAGCCTCAGATCATATTTTAGCTCTTCTCTTGAGTTTGGTGCCCATCCTTTTTGTTCTCCTCAAACCCAGTTGTTTCCCCAAGTGGGGAACATATTACAGTTACCACTGTGACTCCAGATCCTGGCAATAGTATGTGCCCAGTAAACACTGAATGAATGAATGAGTGAGTGAGTGAATGAACAAATGAATGAAACCACCATGCCTCCAAAGTCCTGAATACAAAACCCCAACGGCCCTCTGAAAAATGTCCATCTAATTGTTAAACACTGGACTACGTATGAACCAGTGAATGAGATATTTGTTTCTGTTTTTGTCTTGTTCGGTTGGGAAAAGACAACTAAAAAGAAACATTGCTGAGCTTTGGCCTTGCTGCCTCTGTGCCTATAGTCAGCAATACAGAGAGGAGCTGACAGGGCCGCAGTCCTGGAAATAAATAACCCTCCCTCTTGTTCAAGTGCAGTTTCTAAAAGAAAGTTCTACCATATACTTAATTGGATTCTTTCTTGCTGCAATTTAAGCCTTCTTCCTCTTTTCCCCGAGTGGGATTATAGCTCATTATCTCTGAAGTTCACAGGGGCGCCTTTTCTTAGCAAGGAACTGACTCTCAGAGCGAACATTTTCTCCTCACCTGTGTCGTCCTATGTGTGTATCTTTCTCAGACTTTCGGAAATAGTGCATTGGCTTTAACGAGTTAGTACATAGTAGGTTCCTGTGCTTTTGAGAAAGCAATTTTCATCTGTTCATATATTGTTAAAAAGTAGTGGTACTTTAAAAAAAAAGTTTAATCCTTCCCTACTTCCTCAAATACTGAATTTCAGATCCTTTGGGGTCCAACATAATTTAGGTGTTAATTCCTTTCTAAGCTCTTTTCGAGTTAGCGCACTCACCATGTAGATTCCATTAAGCCCCAGAGTTTCTTCTCTGGGTGTCTCGGAAAAAGCCAAGTAATGCCTGCTGTACATTTAAATATTTTGCTCAGGAGTAGTGTCTTTCATTCCCCTTTCTGACTATTTATTTATGGGGCCTTCATAAAGAGAACAGAAGTCTGTTACAACCAAAACAGCCTGCAGGCACTGGGCTTCTCATCTCATTTGTGGGAAACATCTGGTTAATATCATTCACGGGCTCTCATTCCAGGGTTTGCAGCCCTGAGCGGTTTCAGCCTTAAATCACCCTGGATTGGCAAACAATAGTGAGGGACAGGCCAGGAAAGAGACGGGCAAAGCTTATGTTTGGAATGAGCTTAAGTAAAGGCATAAACTTGCTGATATTCCCATTTTTATTTCTAATATATTCACTGTGAAAGCCAGTATGTTATTTCAGTGATGATGACATTGAGAACCATTGTGTTCTGGAACTTTTCCTTTAGAATTGGCCTGGGGATCAGAAGGCTACGTCTTGATTTTTTTAAAGAGTAAATTTCTAGTAGTGGCATGTATTAGGTGAACGGTCAAGCTGGGTCATTCTCGGTGGAAACTTTGAAGTAGTTAAAAAGAGACCTGTTTAAACATGGAGCAGAGACCCGGACTCTAGTTCCTACTCTGCCACGTTTGCTTTGTGATGCTGGAAATGTCACTGAATGCTTTAAGCCTCAATTTCTTTACCGGTAAAGTGGGAATAAGATCTATGAAACTATGAGGATTTCAAATGAATAACCCAAGTGTGAGTCTTGTCTCTGTTACTTCCAAATGTTTATAGTATGTCTCTGGTAAAACCGTGGTTTTGAGCAACATCAGCACAGAGCCCTGGAGTCTGGAATGCTAGTGCTCCAGAAAATTCTCCAGTCAAAAATCCCATTACAGATGAAGAAAATGAGAATCATAATTATAGAGGAAGTGACTAGAATGCCAAGGTGGCTACTTTCAAAGACAATGCTTATTTTGCATTTATATTTAGGGTTAAAAAAAACCACAAAAATAAATATTTAAAATAAAATAACAACCTCACCCTAGCTGGTTTGGCTCAGTGGTCTGCGGACCTAAGGGTCCTGGGTTCAATTCCAGTCGAGGGCATGCACCTTGGTTGCAGGCTCCTTCCCGGCCCTGGTCAGGGCTTGTGCAGGAGGCATGAATGGATGGGTTTCTCTCACATCGTTATTTATCTCTGTCTTTCCCTCTTTCTTCCACTCTAAAAATCAATGGAAAAATATCCTCACATGAGAATTTAAAAATAAGTAAATAAAAACACAACAACAACAACCTCATTTTGCTGAAGCCCTGGTGATACACTATCAAATTAAATGGATTTAATAAATGGGACAGCAGTCCTCCTGGGATTATAGATTAGCATCACCCTGCTTATTCTGTGCGGCCCAGAGGAGGAGTGGAAATATCCAGGGTGGCTGGGGAAAAGCTATCATAAGCCTTTTCCCAGAAAGGAAGAGCATATGTGGGTCCTTCTACACGCTCTGGGATGGCTTAGTAAACCCAGGTGCAGTTGTCATTCCATCTGCCTCTGGGCTTATGTGACCTTTCAGTACAGGTGAGGAAAGAGCAAGGCTGTGCAGGGCCCAGGCCCAGGCAGTACCTGGGAACCACAGAGGAGAGGAGGCAGGAAGGAAGAATGATGTAGAAGAAGGAGGGAGAAAAAGTAGGAAAAGTAAGAGAAGGGAATGTCATCCCTGAGGACTGTGGTGGAGGGTCACCATGACTACTACGCCTGGTGGCATCTGTGCTACTATTTGTCTTTCTGGGAACATTATCACACCACCAGTGGGAGTGTCTGTTTTCTGCAAACAGATCTCCCAGGAGGGGGATCCCCTCGCAGCTACTCTAGAAACTCAGTACATTTGAACAGCCCCTGCTCTTAGAAAAGTCTTACTTATTTAAAAAAGAAAACAACAAAGTCCCTTTATATCACCTTTGAAATTACTTGCTTCTTTATCACACTAAAAGAACAATTCAGTGCTTATATTGGAAAACTCATTTTTTTTTTTGCTGCCTCCTTCAAATTTTTATAAGGACATAAATTTGTTTTTTTATACAGGGAATAAAGATTTCAGAAGGATGGTCAGTTATTTGCTAATTGAATTACCGGAAGAAAGTATGATTAAAAAATGTATATAGTTGGGCCCTAACCGGTTTGGCTCAGTGGATAGAGCGTTGGCCTGTGGACTGAAGGGTCCCAGGTTCGATTCCGGTCAAGGGCATGTACCTTGGTTGCAGGCACATCCCCAGTTGGGGGTGTGCAGGAGGCAGCTGATCGATGTTTCTCTCTCATCGATGTTTCTAACTCTCTATCCCTCTCCCTTCCTCTCTGTAAAAAGTCAATAAAATATTTTTTTAAAATGTATATAGTTGGAAGGTCTGCTCAAGGCGGGGAGGGGAGGGGGTTAGAGATCAGCCAAAGAACTTGTATGCATACATATTAGCATGACCAATGGACACAGACACTGGGGCGGTGGGGCTTGTCCTCGGGGGTGGGAGTGGCAGGGGGTTAATTGGGGGGAAAAGGAGACATGTAATACTATAACAATAAAAAATGTATATAGTTAATTTTATGCGTGCATGTATTTAACCCATCTGTAGTAATTATAATATCTCTTTGTGTGTTTTTTTTTTATTTCTTGGGGAAAATGGGTTAGGTTGGACCTGGATGCATCATTATAAAATGTGCACATATAAATTGAACTTTTCTAAATCTAGGTCAATTGGGTAAGAAGTCTCTTCAGATAAAAGTAGGTTGACAATTAGATTCACAGGCCACTTCAATATTAAATGATATTTCTTCCTACATCCTGGGTCATAAAGCAGTGTAAATAATACATCAGTGTTAAGAAACAGAAATCGCATTCACAATAATAGCAAAGCTTCATAGTACATGGTTTTACACTTTAATATGCTGTGTCCCATTCTGCCATGTTAGTGTTTTAAATAGTATAATTTATTTTTCATGTAGTTTTAAGTTCATCTTTTATTTTCTCCTCACCCATTCTGGAATAGCTTTCTACAGTGCTAGGAGAAATTCCTAAAAAATAAAAACCATAAAGTCAAATGATATTTTTAGAAAAATGTAAAAGATTTCAGATCCTCCAGCCAAAATGTTATGTTGTGTTCTTTCCAGACTCCATCTGTGTACCAGGCTTTGATCCAGGCCTCAACATGATGACTGGAATCACCCCCATTAACCCAATGATCCCAGGCCTGGGACTGGTACCACCCCCGCCGCCAACAGAAGTAACTGTCATCAAAGAAATAATCCACTGCAAGAGTTGCACTCTTTTCCCTCAAAATCCAAGTAAGTGATGTCTGTGAGAAATGTTTGCTTATCAATTTAAATTACTATTTTGTTTTTATTATAGCATTGCATTCATTTTCAGATGTGACTCAGAATTCTTCCACATAGATTCTAGAGTGGGGATCCATTCCACAGAAGTTCTTTGTCTCTAGATTAGAATGCATGTGTTGGGATATGTCCATATGTCTGTCCATGAGCTGACTCAACACCGTAAAGGCAGTACCTGTGATTTGGAACTATATATCCAGCATTAAGAATCTTTTTGCATGCAATGAGGTCTGACTTTTGCTGCAAAACATAGTGTGAAATATGTGAGCACTTCCATCCATCTTCACAGTTGCGGGAGAAAAACTCTGAAATGTTTTTTTGCTAGATGGAAAATTGAATTAATTTGGCGGTTAGCAATTTTGGGGGGAGCCTGCATCTCAGACTTCCTGGGCCAAATTGCATTTGCTTGAAGGAAACATACATTTGATGAAATAAGTGGGTCAGAATTTTTTTTTTTAATTTAGCCTCAGATACTAAGTTTATGGGTTTAAATAGCTAGGATTTTTTTTTTATTCATATTAATCAGTGTTGCCTTTTTTAAGTGGACTTTTCAGGAGATTGCTTTAGTAATCTACATATAAACTAGGTAAAATGTTGTGACAGTGTACATTTTATCTTTTTATACAGCCTTCCCCAAATTTAATAGTTTGCTCATTTCAATGTGAATAATACTAAAAAAAAAAAGTTGTTTTCAGGCCCGGGGTTTCCCAGCCAAGTAAGTACCGCGCGAGCTTTCAGGTTCGGCTCTCTGCGTTCTGCCTTGCTGCTTCCGTATCCCGCAACAAGACAAAGCAGATAGCGAACCGAGGCTTTTCATCATGTTGTCATTTCATCATGCTTTGTACCTTGCAAAGGATTTTTCCTCGTTTTCTGGGTTTCCATATTATGAAGGAGAAATGAAATTATGCTAACATTTGCTTTATCTTTGTTCACGGACAAGCCTAGCTACTCTGTGTAGAAATGAACAAAAAGAGAAAAGAAAGTTGGGAGGAGGAGGGGAGAGGAACTGAAAAACAAGACAGCCCATGATCAATGTAAGTCGGTGTAGAAATTTATCATTATCCAGAGTGGAGACAGTTACTCTGCGAGTTTTACTTTTGCCAGGTGAACCGGAAAAAAAGAGCGCAAAGAAATCAAAGGCAAAACCCTCTGTTTCTTGTGCTTAATTATTAGATCTTCCACCTCCTTCCACAAGAGAACGACCTCCTGGCTGTAAGACCGTGTTTGTGGGAGGATTGCCAGAAAATGCCACTGAGGAAATTATTCAAGAAGTCTTTGAACAGTGTGGTGATATCACAGCGATTCGGAAAAGCAAGAAGAATTTTTGCCACATTCGCTTCGCAGAGGAATTCATGGTTGATAAAGCCATTTACCTTTCTGGTACTTCGCATTCCATAAGGGGTTTTCTGGGCATTTTGTTATGTCTTATGATGTTAATGTGAGTTTATTCCCTCTTGCCTTAATGCACAATAAAAATCCTTACAGTTTGGGGCTAGAAAAGGAGGGATTCTGCCTTTTCCCTAGGCTGCCAGAAGCTCCACCTTAAGTCTGTGAATGCACCTCGCTGCAGGAATGGTTTCCCACATCCAGTCTTTAGGAATTCCATCAACCTTCTAATTAATGATCTCAAGTGCTTATTAGATGAAAAGCAATATTATGAATACTGAGGACCATTATGATTATTGGATGTAATTCTCTGGGAGATTAAAGTACTCTCTTAGCATAATTTCCGTTTTTCAGAAGTGATTCACTTTCTAGACACCAGGGGACTAAATCAAGATCAGTTCTTTGCAGAAAGCAGTCTGTGGGAGCCAGGGAAAGACCCAGTATCATTGCCCAATTGTTTGTACATTTATCTTGGTTAAGCCCACCCCATGATCCCTGCTTCTTTGGTACCAATTTACATGGGAGATTTTTACAGGTGTTGTAATTAGACCTAATACTGCCTTTTGCTCTGTGGATGTCAGAGCAAGTGTATGGAGTCTCTCTGCAAGGCCTTTGCCCAATCTAAGAATTGCAGGCTGGTATTGATATGTGGCTTTAGAACAGGGGTCCTCAAACTTTTTAAATAGGGGGCCAGTTCACTGTCCCTCAGACCATTGGAGGGCCGGATTATAGTTTAAAAAAAAACTATGAACAAATTCCTATGCATACTGCACATATCTTATTTTGAAGTTAAAAAACAAAACGGGAACAAATACAATATTTGTATTTGCATGTGGCCCGTCGGGCCGTAGTTTGAGGACCCCTGCTTTAGAAGGATGTATTTTAGATTCAACTCCTTGCAATTTCCTCACACTGTCAATCTGCATATTTTAGCAAGTCCCTCTGGGCACTACCTCCCTGTTCCTGAGGCAAAACCAATGGGGCAAGGTGAAAAAAAGGATAGGAAGAAAACAAACAAAACAAAGCACATCTGAACATTACTGCAGACTGATTTCTGCAATCGGCCATGAAATTCTCTTGCAAACCCCAGAAGCTTTGGGGTTAATCCAATAAGGCAGAAACTTTCCTGAGCAAGATAGTGATATGGAGAACTTTAAACCCCTTATTCCCATAAAACCTTTCAAAGAGGGGGGAAAAAATCTGACAGCTTTCCAAAATGGAGATGGAAGGTGGAACATAGATAAAGATATTTTACAACACACAGACAGCTATGTTTTACTTTTCACGTATTCCTGAGCTGTAGCCTCGGAGCGATCCATTAGACAACTGGGGACTCGGTTGAGTGCCTGGCACTGGGCTTCACATGCCTTGGGCAAGATAACCTCCCTCTGAGACTCCTTTCCCTCATCTGCAAAATTGAGATAGTGACAATACTACCTCATAGGGTTGTTATGGGGAATAAATCAAGATAATGGATTTTAAGTGCTTAGCAAGGCATCTGCAACATAGGAACCATTCAGTACGTAAATGGTTATTTTATTAATGTTTTAACACAAACGTTCTGATGTTGATAAAGACAAACTGATTTGTTTCTAATCCCAGCACTACCAATAAAGCTATTACTTTATCCCACCTGATTAGATGAGAGGGTTAGAGTAGATGAAAAGTGCTTTAACACCAATAGAGCACAATGTTTAGACCCAATCAGAAACCCCATAATACATTGCCAAAGATGAACATGTCCAACATAGGCACGTGAAGGTACTTCTTTATATATGCCTTGATGTTATGATTTTTGCCAGCTTGGACCCTGGTCCTGCTTCTCAGCAGGGCACTGCCTTGCTCCTTGGTCTGCCCTTTTGAGACAGGAGGAACCCCCAGCAAAGGCATTACCTCCAGCCCCCCTGCCCGGGTGCATGGGCATCTCTGCTGCCCTGTGGAGGCTGCAGCATCAGCCCCAGGAAGATCTGAAAGGCTGATTAATGTGAGGAACAGGAAGGAAGGAGGGCTGCTCCTTCTGCGTGTGAGCTTCTGCAAGCCTGAGCCCAGATGGAAGGCTTGTCTAATTTTAGGACCGGGTTCACATCTGAAGGCCAAGCTAATTTTAGAGACAGCCTCGTCAGATCTCTTTTAAGGCCTTAATGATGATGTTTTGGTGAAAGAGAGGGTGCTTTTTGGAACCAGAAACGTCTGAAAAGCAATGGTCTGGATATGAGCAAGGGAAAGTTGCTTAGGCAGTTGGGACACTAGCCAGTCTCAAGCTGCCCTGCCTGCTCAGCTGTTTTATATATATATATATATTATGTGGCCTGCAGATTTGTTAAATTTCCATGGCCCACAACCAAGATACACTGTGCTTTAGAATTAATTCTGCTCATCTGTGATCAGATGTTTGAGTTTTTGATAGGTATTGTTGTTATGTCTTTCCATTTTTAGATAACACAGTTGAAACCGAGGCACAAGAAGGGCATAATGGAATCAGATGTGAGATCTGTTTCATATTTGTAACTTTTCAAATGTGTGAAGGGCCCTACTGGGGAGAAGTCAGCCTTTTCAGGGATTTTCAGCTGAGTTTCAACCCAAAATACTGCGATAATCCATTGAAATCTGCCACAAGATCTTGAATATCTGCCCAGTGTGGCCTAGCATTTCACAGTGGTGTCTTATTTGCAAAGCCCCTACACAGCAAAAGTGCTGCTTTTGTTCTCTCCTCTGGCAGGCCCTGACAGCCCTCATCCTGCTGGGACCTGAATTGATGTTTTTTAATTCTGAGTCCCCCAAACTGAAGAGCAACCTCAAAGCCAAGTCTTCTTCATTTGAAGTTTGGCTGTCTGGTTTCAGTGCTGTTTCTGTTGATTTCTCAGATCAAATTTCTGCTCACAATCTTTGTAAGTTGGGCAGCTCACAGTAAATCCCCCAAAGATTTGCAGGCCCATTATTTGGTCTGGCTCCGGGCTCTCGTGTTGGCTCCTGTGGCCTTCAAAGATGGTGCGGACAATCCGTGCGGTGCTGCCTGCCAGATGAGCTGCTGCAGGGCTGTCAGGAAGACAGCGGCAAGGCCCCTTGATTGAAGGTAAAATATTCTCCTGTGTGCCCCAGAGGATAAGTGGAAATAAAACAGCATTGCAAAATTGCCTTGGTAATTGTGGCTTTTGCAGCTGCTGAGAGAGAACTGAGCAGCAACATTTTTGAGGAGAATAAAGTGATAGCCTGTGAGTGAGGTGTTGTGGAATTTACTTTGTAGATCTCTTTAAATATCACGGACACTCTTTACTCCTACTCCATCTCTTTCTAAAAAGAATTTAAGAGAGTTTATGCGATAGAGTTACAGTAAGTTGAAAATATAAAATCAGGGCCATAAAAAAGGTAGGAGGGAGGGAAAAAGCTATGTGTCAGATTTGGTTTTGAGCTTCCCGGAAGCCAGAGGGAAGAAGGAGTTCGTTACCCCAGGTTCTTGAGATCACCCTCCTGGTATCATTGGCTTGCAAATGAGGAGGAGACCAAGACACCTCAGAGCAGTGTGGTGTCCCCTAATCTATAAGGAGCCTGACTTGGCAGTGCTTCCGGGTCGCAGGGGAGAAGGAAAGCTGCCTCCCACTTCCAAGGGAACGGTGTCCTCCGTAAGGACAATGACAGCACTCAGTGCACCTGGATCGGGGGCCTGGACCAAACCGTGGTGCTGCGTCTTTGCGATGTGACCAGGCTTTCCATTGGTTTCAGGTTACCGGATGCGATTAGGGTCTAGCACGGACAAAAAAGATTCTGGCCGCCTTCACGTGGACTTTGCCCAGGCCCGGGATGACTTCTACGAGTGGGAATGCAAGCAGAGGATGCGCGCCCGCGAGGAGCGGCACCGGCGCAAGCTGGAGGAGGACCGGCTGCGGCCGCCCTCCCCGCCGGCCATCATGCACTACTCGGAGCACGAGGCCGCTCTGCTGGCCGAAAAGCTGAAAGGTAGGAGGCCATTGCCCAGTGAAAGAGAAAGGCTGTGGCCCCTCAACACCGAAGCCCTGTGTGTTTTTCTGTTCCTTCAAGAGCTGATTCCTGATGACGGGTGTGGGGGGCGAGGGGCGGGGGTGGTCACTGGGAAGAAGGACTCTGCTGAGCTTGGTCCTGCCGTTGGGACAGAGCCCTGCCCTTTTCCAGCACTGTCACCGTGGTCTGGGAATGTGTGTGCACTGCCACTCAGCAATCGCCTGGAAAGTGGGGAAGAAGAGCCATGAGCTCTAGCCCCAAAGCTGGCTACTGCCCTCCGACTTGTGTTGCATGAGCTAGGCTGGCGTCTACACCTTGGGCAGGCGGTCCTGGTGTTCCTCCTGCTCTGGAGAGTTTGCACCTACTCCACGCTCCTCACAAAGCCTTCCTTAACCGTATCGCTCTGCACTGGGGCAGAAGAGACCTGTGGAATAGGATTCCTGGCTTCAGAGATGGAGTTGAAGGGGCACTGCTAACACCTACCAGATAATGAGGACGAGAAGTGTGCATATTTCATTTCTTCAGATGCTTTCTGTGTTCCTCTCCTGTGTTGGATGCTATGAGAGATAAACACATGGAGGCTTTATTACCTGCCCTAGTGAACTACAAATGAATGGGGAGGGGCCAGGTCTTGAAGTGAGGATTGGGTGTGTATGTAGATTTTTTGCCATTACTAATCAAAGTTGTGTGACATGAACAACATCTGAGTGTTTTACAGTCTGTCCTCAGGTTGTTGGGCATGTCGGGTTTTAGTAAGAGTTACATAGGTCACAGTCGCCGGCCACACAGAGGTGTCTACAAGGAAACGATTAACGGTAATACAGAGTCAGTGACATGATTGTTCAAGGGATGAGCAACGCGCTTTGAGAGCTGAGGAATGAGTGCAAACCCTGTTGATGAAAGTGTGACGGAAGTCTTCAGAGAGGAGGCTGAATTTGAACTTTGCAGGATACACAAGATAATTTTTTCCTCGAAAAAAGAATGGGCATAAACACATTATTAGTCAGAGGCTGGAGCCCTGGGAATAAAGATAGAAGGAAGCAGAGAGAATTTGACACCAAAGGAGAAAGGCGTGCGGCCTGCTCTCGCAAAGGTGAGGCCTGCGTGAAAGTCGTAGAGGCCCGTGAAGCTGGAAAAGCAGCTGGGCCGTAGAGTGCGGGCTGAAGGCTGCTGCTGGGTTTGGGGTTTATTCCACCCGCAGTGGAAAAGCCACTGAAGGGTTCTTATGAGGGGAGAGATGCAATTGGTCCTTAGAGTATTTGAGAGCATAGCCAGTGTATTAAATGTCAATGTGTAAGGTGGATTGGATGTTTTCATTACAGGAAGTATATGAACAACTGCCCAAATCCTATTTTAGAAAGATAGGAAGAACAGTTTTTCTATGCTTGAAAAAAAAAAGTTTTTTTAAACAAAAAAACTTCTGCTTCTAGCCCCCATCCCCTGTTCTGGGCTTGGGAACCCTAGTAACCTGCAGCTGCACTGAAGTGTCCCATTGTGACACAGAGGCCATGACTGTCCCTCTGACAAAAAGCCTATAAAACATAAATACATCTTCTCACTTTTCCATTCAGACTCGAAGCCTTATCAAGTGGCCAGAAAGAGAAAGAGCAACATCCTCAGCCAGGAATGTTGATTTGGGAACAAATACTTGTTTCTTTCAGATTCAGTGCATTCTGTATTTATCAGCTTCTGCCGTGTCCACTCTTAGGAGTGACAAAAACTATCACTTTGATTCTGTGACCTCATGAAGGAATTTCAGGAAGTTTGGTATCTATATTATGTTATTTTTTAAGGAGTCAACACAGAGAGTATCTACACATACCAGAGGAATACTTCATTGCCCTTCCTGTTAGGATAGCAGGATAGCAGATTGGGATGTCAGTTTGGTAAAGTAATTGGCAAGCCTTGCCATTTAAAAAAAAGTGTATATATAAATATATATGTATATATATATATATACATATATATACATATATATATATATGTATGTATAATTTGCAAAATTTAGAAGCTGCACCTTTAAAACGTACCGTGTGATCCCTTGAGAGAGAACAGATTGGAAATTTTAATAGATGGCAGTTACAGTAGAATGAACTAGCTGGGGATACATCTTAGGCAACAGTCAGGTAATATCAAGCTTGATGATTTCAACCCAAGCACAGAGCTTGGAATATAAACAGCATTTAATTGCTTAGGAAATTGGCTGCCTCAGAGATGAAATCCACTCATGCTCCTTATAATGCTGCAAAGCCAGACAGGAGGAGCCGAGGAAACTGTTTCCCTGAAGATGATTTCATTGATATGGGGATATCACATGCAGTCAAGTCCAAGGTAAAGAAGCCTAGGTCAGAAAGAAGTGGGAAGGCAATCTGAAAATACCTACTTGGATTTTTCTTTTTGCCCTAGAGAAATGTTGCTATCTTGTGTTTAGTACAAACATTTTCCCCATTTTTACATCGTACTTGTTCATTCTTACAATTTTCTTTTTGAAAATCAGTTTTATCTAACAAAATCTGTATAGGCCAAGTCTTCATTACAACCAACAAGGCATTTTCCATCCTGCTCAGTGCTAAAACTATGCACATAATATATGCTCAGTAAACTATTTGCTTTCTTTGTTTCTTAGCTATTTGGATCTATAAGCATGTTGCATTTCTGGCCAACAGTGCTACCAGGCATGACCCATGGCCGAAAGTTAGAGAAGTGATGTGCACTTGGCCATTATTCCAATCACTCCACAAGTATTTGTCAAGCTCTTTACCATATGCCTGGCTCTGTGCTGAGTGCGTGGGAAAAGAAAACAGGATACAAGCCTCTACCTCATTTAGTTCGAGATTTTTGAGTGATAGAGGCAATTTACAAAGCACTCTGTACTTCCACTATTGCAAGTGGCAAGTGCAGGGTGCTATCCCAGGAGAGACAGACACCCCACCTGGCCAGTACAGGGTGAGACGGGGGAATCTTCTGGGATGAGTAAACCTACATTCAGTGGCCACAGGGCCTTCTGAAGCCAGAAGAAACAATGAGGTGTAACTGTGTAGTACCTAAGGCATGGAGCTCCAGTGTCTGTTACGTTAGTACAAATTCTAAAAAAGAAAATTAGCAGGCGTCCTGCTGATTAAATAGACATTGTTCTGAGACAATTCAACTTAATGAAGACTGACTGGGAAGTGCTCACAGACCAAAGTTTATATTTGAGAAAGTGAGAAGGAGCTCAATAACACCATAATTACACTTTATTGGAAACAGTAGCACCAGGCAGACAAGATAATGAATTTCAGTGTCTAACACAGACCATCCACCCCTGGAGGAACCCTGTGTTTGGACTGTGGAAGGAAGACATTGATCAGACAGTGAGGAGAGATTATATCCTAATTCACTGAGGATCTCTCCTAGCAAGAGCACTTAAAATATTTTGTGTATTTTCCCTGCTTTGGAAAGCTTCACATAATCTTTATGTAATGAAATGGAGAGTTTTTTCTGTGCATCCGGTGAAGTTTTGACACAAAATTTGGCGAGCAGTGCCCTTGGGATTTCCCGATGTGTTGTCAGAAATTTGGACCTCTTGGGGTCAACACCCATAATTTCCAGGGACTGGACTCTGGGTTGCATACGGAGCGGCCCAGCGTCTGCCCGCCAGGGGGAGAAAGGGTGGACGTGGTGCTAGCGTTGTGCTGAGATGGCTGCCACTATTTATGATTCTAAGAATGTAAAAATCGATAATACTATTAGCCAAGTGGAAGTTCCATTAGTAAAAACCAGACTTCCTTCTGAGGGCACGGGAGCCTGTTTGCGAATCACTTCTTCAAACATTACTCATCTTCATAAAAGGAAGATATGCCATTTCACTTAGAAACATTTTGCATGGCTCCAAAGCAGGAATAATCAGTGTATTTTCATACTGCCCCCCTTAGTTTTCAAATTTTTACAGGTACTAATTAATTAGGGAAAGTGTGTGTGTGTGTGTGTGTGTGTGTGTGTGTGTGTATGTGTGTGTTGGGGATAGCAAGGAATACTATGTATAGCTTTTTATGCTATTCATGATTTGGAGGATAGTTAAGGTACCACCCCTTTTGATGGTTAATTGAGCAGCCAGAAAATGGAGACTTGTGTAGGGATGGCCAGTGTGTGAGGGAACAGTGAAATTTTACAAACACGGTAGTAGCAGTTGTAGCCATCTTGGAATTCCCATTCTCCTTGCATCAATGTGTGACTATACACTGTGACCTACTGCTTCCAGCTATCACAGAAGCCAGAAATCAATGACAGCTGTATAGACACACCATTGTGTGTGTACACGTGTGTGTACACGTGTGCACACCTGTCTGTGTGTCCCATGTCTTTGAAAACAAATGTGCTATAGAATGTCTTCCCCCCCCCTCTTTTTTTTCTCTTTTACAATACATTGTATTCAAACCTGGAATCTCCCCTCCAGTTGCTCCTCTAAAGACCCAGCCATAAATAAGGGTACTACAGCCACCAGTGTTTTCATATTCATTGTTCATGCCCTGACTTTTACCCAATGTGCTCTTCTGAAATTTAGGGCCAGATCAGCCTCTGCACACAAAGGAGTAGAAGATAGCTACTTACCAGTTTTATTCCTTTCCCCCTTTGTTAACTGGACATCAGTTTGATTAAAAGTTCACCGAGTGCCCACCTGCTGAGTCCTGGGCTCTGTGCTGCAGCCTGGGCCCTGCCCCCGTGGAGTTTGCAGTTCTATGGGTGCTAAAGTACGCGATGACAGTGAAATCATGACTGCCTTTCAAATATTAAATGACCACGTGCCAGTGATTCTATTTAACTCTTTAATTAATGAGGGAATCGGTAAGAAGTTAAAACTGGTTCAAAAAAGAATTTGCTTTCTGAATATTTATATTTCCTACTGGACAAAAATCATTTGCATTATTATAGAGAAGAATTATTTGCATTGTTATCAGTTTTCCACAATTTATGTCCTATTCCCTACCACATTTTAACAT